CACGGGTGGACGCACGGGTGGACGCGGGACACGTACATGGGTCTATTGTTTCGCCCGCAAGGCGGGGACCGACGTGAGCTGGGGTCGTGGAGCACTCGGCACCAAAAGTCAGCGCGAGAACTAGAGCAAGAACTGGGTCAACAAAATAATGATATCTTGATGTGGCGGACTCACCTTTGACAAACGCTCACCATTCCGGCGTCGAGTGTGAAGGCACCTGGTATTTCTCCCTTCTCACCAAGTAAGATCGAAACATGACGTCAGTCAGCCGGCGATGAGATGAACTGTGTGCGAAACTCACTGCGTACTCCAATGGTTCAACATTTACCACCTCAGCTTCATCGAAATGCGCCCACCATCCGTCGCCAACAGCTGAACCTTGTCGCCCTCCCCCGCCTTTCCTCCTGTATCCATCCCACCCTTTCCCTTGCACCATGAACGGGTGAATGGAGCAGAGAAAGCTTGTGCGTGGGCAGTCATCTCATTTATATGATTCTATTTGTAGTTAGAAAGGGGGTTTATGGTGTGGTCACTGGTGACGGTGATGGAATGAGCACGCAGGAAAACTAATTGGCGCTTGCGCTTGTTTGGACAAGGTGTGGCTACATCCACACAATCCGCCACGACCTGCGCTGTGAGCAAACTCGCTGAATTCTAGCCACTCGATCTGTGCTGAAAGATTCAATTTAAACAAATTTACGGATTATAATTAATATGTGCAACCACGAATATAATGAGTATATTGGGGTGATGTTCACCGAGCGTATGTAGTACTTGCACCTGAAGTGCCTCTGCCTCGTCCGACCGACTCTGGTTCGAGTAAGTTTTCGCCAGGTTCATAGTAGCGGGTGTGTCGGGGCGACGCTCGCCGAGCCACTCACTCACGCCTGTTCCCTTTGGAACCGAAGCACCATCCCGATAATATTGGCGAAACTACAACTGCCCAAGTTTACATCTATGTCATAGCGTTACATACAGCTAAACAAACACGGGTTTAACCCATCTGCTCAAGCGAAGCGTGAATAGCAAAGCCCAAACGCCTTTGAGTTTTTGTCGCCTTTCGGCCACCCGTTTGCCTTTAGTCAGATGTTATTAGTCTCACCAATTCGACGTGACCCCACTCCAGAAACGTACCTCTGCTCCTGGCAGACAAACGCAGCCGGCGCGCCCATCCAATCATCCAACACATATTTCGCCAGCTTGTCGTGATCATGTCGAGGCGCTCCACTGTCTTTGTCGTCATCTTCTCCGAATAGGTCTGCTGCAAGTTTGGCGTGACTGACTCCAGCGTATGTCGTGACGCAGCGCGGGTTGATGAGGATCCTCGCAGGCTGGTATGCCGAGTTGGGAATGGGGGGCGGAGGAGTGTTGACCGGGGGAGGAGACGGTCCGGACACTGCATCATAGTCTGATCCAGCGTCTGCGTCCGAATCTGGGTTGGCTTTGTCTGGTCTGCCAGGTGGAGGGGGGTCCTTCTTCGCAGGTTTGTTCGCCGCAGCTTCAGGGGCATTTGCGGCGGGGGCAGGTTCTTGTCGTTTGTTTACGCCGGCATGGTTAGGCTGGGGAGGGTCGTTTTCGACAGGGTAAACCTCTGGGATACGTTGGCGCCCATCACGAGAGACGCCGTCCTTGGCACCTTGAACCCACAAGTCGCGGCAAAACCATGCCTGACTAGAGTCCATGCATGAGCCTTCGGGATCCCAGTTGGGCGCGCTTTCCGATGTGCTGAGGTTATGGAAGCTCGTTGACGAGCGATAGGTAATGCCACGGTAGTACGACTGGGCGGGGTCGACGATGTGGGTACCTGATTCGCAGCAGAAGACTTGGAACGGCAGGTGGGCAGCGTATCGTTTGGCACCGACGGCGTCGCGCGGAGGGCCAGAGGCGGAGGAGGCGGAGGATTTGGATTGTCGGAACTGATCGCCGTCCATGTCGCGAGTACGCCACCTAAGCAAATAGCAGTGAGAACATGAAGAGGTCTATGCTGGGCGAGACGCACCTATCAGAGAAAATGAAGAACCCGTTGTGCTCTGCCCAATCCATTCCACACACCATTGCGGCGTTGTTAGCTTGGCTAACCTTGATGGTTTCAAGGATATCATTGGGACAGGTAAAGCCCTTCAGCCAGACCACACGGTGGAAGACGATGCGGCGCTTTTCGTACAACTCCTGCAAGGGTTCGAGAACAAGATTGCGGGTGTAAGCCTCCTCCAAAGGGTAATACGCGGCGGCCGGGTCGTGTGTCATTCCAGGGACGGTCCGAATCCTGAAGGGGACGCCTGTCAGGATTAAAACCGCCTCGCACAGGTCCAGAAGCGTAGTGGTAGAGTCGGTACTGCCATAATCGAGGATACTGACAAACAGGCTCGAGGGACCCAGTCTCCGCGCCATTTGAACTATAACAGCGAGTTGATCGACGAGGAAGTGGTCCGCGCTGTGCACTACAATCGCGATATAGTACAGATGCCCTTGGCGTGCCAAGTCTTCATAGTTATCTTCGCGCTTGTTTTGACCAAAGGGACGAATCAGGGTCGGACATGCAGCTGCGACCCAGCCGTTCAAGCTTAGCAAATCGTCGATAGCGGAGCGAACGAGCTGGTCGTCGACGTGCGCCGTCTGTTTTCCTTGCATGCTATGGGCGCAAATCAGCTCCAATAAGCGTAGCAAGGAGGGATATGACATACAATGGTAGTTGAAAGCGCTGCCAGAAGTCTAGAGCACCGTCACTTACCCAGTCGCTCATCAGGTCTGGGCGCTCGTCTCGTCCGAGCCGCGCCTGCAGGAACTTGTGCCGTTGCACGTCAAGAGTACGGTCCGCATTTGTGACCCGGTCAAGGACATTGTGCGCGACAATTTCGTGGGGTTGGGTACTGGAGGAGAAGAAGATCGTGTGGAAGATGTAGACAACAGCGCCGCCCAGGAGCACGCGTGTCAAAAGACTTTTTCGAGGAGCAGTAAAGTTGAAAGCCATTGCAAGGCCTGTAAAAAGTGACGAGACGCGTTTTGTGAGCAATATGGAACGCGGGAGGCTGGCGGCATGAGGAGCGAATGAACACGAACCAATAGGACCTAACAGATGCGAGTGAGTGTTTAAGGTTGTATCCTGTGAGTGACTTTGCCTAAGCCTTCAGAATACCAGAACAACCGACACGCACACTCACCGAGCTCTACGTTTGCTTCAAATGTCGGAGAGCATCAAGCTAAAGACTGTGCCCGATTTTGAATTCCGTGCGCGTCAAAAGAGCTCAAAATTGCACAGCCAAGGCAAGAGACTTTTTCAAGGACAGGAGATTGGCTGTGGTGGACGTTGCCTGACGGGATAAGTTCTGCACCAGCGCCTAGCTCACCGTGACACTGAATTTCAAATAAGCTCACCAACTCCGGAAATCGAAGTGCCGGCAAATCCTGACGAGTAACAAGAGTTTATATTTGGTTAGTGTTCACGGGTCTGGCGGTGTAGATGGACGATCACTTAGCTTTGCATACCCCTACAAACTCGCTGAAGGCTCTCACCGGAAGATTGCTGGTGCCAATCAACGAAACCATCTAGAGACCATCTTAGTGTCGTTCTAGCAGCTGCCAACTCGCGTCTTTTAGCTTACCGAGTACCCCAGCGAAATCTCGCGTAAGTCTTGTGGCTCCACCTAGGTGAACCTACTAAACCCACAGACTAATAGAAGTTGAACGCTTTTCTTAGTTATATGCAAATATTTCAGATGTCCAGAAAGAAAAGGTAACAGGGCCTTCCAAGGAAAGGAATATGAGATGTGGTCGACGTCGAAGATGGAAGGTTAATGGATGCTCGCTGCTGGACGGATTCCAAATTGGACTCGCTACATCTAGCTTTGACTTCAGTCGAATCAATGGTACAAGAGCACCAATACTATTTCACCGGCATGCTCGAGGGAACCATACATAGGAATCTTCAATTTTGGGATGAAAGCCTTAGTATGCTTACGGAGGAGTTTTGCTGTTCAACTTCGCTAATATTCATGTGAAATTTCTCTGATTCTTTGGTCACTTTCAGACCACTCTGTTCAAGCACCCCCCGCTTTCTTTTTGGTCTGATGTACCTCCTGTAACCAAATAGGTGAGACACAAGTAAGACACAGCCTACAGCCATTTGCAGATTAGATGATAGTGAACCTTTTTACGTTGGATCGTCATTGAACCAACGGGATCGCACCCCCGGCGATTACCGTCCGACAGACCCAACTTCGATGAGCGATGCCCTCCAAAGCCACTACAAGCCTGGGGTGTACCAGTAGGACTTGTTCCAGAGTACATGTGATAATTCTTGTAGAGATCCGTGAACTGCTGAGGGAGTTACGGTCAAAAGAGTGAAAAATGGCTGTGTACCGCCTTACTTGGTGCTTGAGCTTGTACCAGCCCAACAGGTTTGGCTCGTAGCGTCACTCAGAAAGGCTGCAGTTGGACGTTATGAGGGGTAGCGTGTGCTTTCAGGTGCTTATAAGCTAAAATGGGGTAGAAGTGCCGGCTGATGCTAATAAAATTACTAGTAAACATCCCCTGAATACCTGAAAGACCGCACTTTCAGCTGCCAATACACCTCTGTACTTGGTACATACACGCCGAAATTCAGCCTAACTTGTATCTACACATAATCCGTCTTGATTTCAGGCTATTTTCGCTGAATTCCAGGGCTGAATGTGTTCTGTGATCTCATGGGCGACCATTTCACAGTATATACGCACCCGTATATCTACACGCCCTCTTACGGCCTTCTTAGACACTGTCACTCCCTTTATATTGGTTTACGAGTCCCACGTTTTTCATCCGGTCCTGCATTTACGGGAATTGTCACATGTACCCTGGAGCAGGTTCTGCTGGTATCCCCCAGGCTTGTAGTGGCCTCGGAGGGCATCGCTCACCCGACGGTCGGCAATCGCCGGGGGTGCGACCCCGTTGGCTGATAATCCATCCAGTGGGAAAAGGTTTCGCTATGATCAATCTGCGAACAGCTGTGAGGCAAAAGGCAATGCGTGAGCCGGGAATCGAACCCGGTTCCTCGGTAGGAAGTCTCCCCATTATCGGGACCAGGTGATGGGAAACCGAGATAATAACCATTATACTACCCACGCCTGCAGGAAAGGATGGGTCCATGGCTATTAGCCACTGAAAACACCAGCTGCTCAAGTAATCATGCGCCTCCCATCACGATTCGATTGGATACTGGCCAGGCAGCCAAAGGAAATAAAAATGTATGAGTCTATATGTACAAGAACTTGTAGATGGCTAAAAGCACCAGGATTTGAGGATTATCATTGAATTGGTCCTTTAATATAGATTTTTCTTGGAGCTAATAGTGCAGGTATTGCAACCTTATCTGTAAACATATTATTAAGATATACTCACACTGCTTTTCTTATCACATGATTGTGCTCATTGATTCACACTTAAAACATGGTATATATTCTGTTACGAGCCTTCGCCGTAGGGTCACTAATGTGACGCAGGGGTTTCTTTAGACGTGGGAAGGTGGGACTTGGGTCCCCGAGGACTTCGGACAATGGACAAACACGACGTACAAAGGCTTATAGTTAAGCCACGAGATACAAGGGGTGGTCAAGTGGCTAAGTACCTTTAAGCCACGAGACCCTGGGAGGAGAAGACTTAAGTAAGAGGGTTGCTAACTGTTATGAGCCTTCGCCGTAGGGTCACTAGTGTGACGCGGAGGTTCCTTTAAATGTGATAAGGCAGGACTGGGGTCCTCGTAGACGATAGACGGACACAACGTAAAGGCTTATAGTTAAGCCACGAAAGGTTACTTGACTTAGTGGCGATGTGCCACGAGATACGAAGGGTGGTCGAGTGGCTAAGTACCTTTAAGCCACGAGACCCTTGGAGAGAACGACTTAAGTAAGAGGGTTGCTAACCCCTTAGTGCGAAGGTAAAGTGGGACAAGGCGAGAACAAGCTGGGGTTGCCATGCTTGTTCTCTGCTCTTTATATACTACGCTAATATCTAACTGAGTCAACCGCCATTCCAAGGCGAGTCAACCAGACGAATCATACGTACAGGCGTGAGTCAATCGCCATTCCCAGACGAGTCAACTCCGAAGCAGAGCCAAGCCACGAGACGAGAAAGGGGGCCGGAGGTGCCCAAGCGAAGAAAAGTTGGGGGCTGTACAACAGCTCACAACATTCTTCCCCCCTTTTCGCGCGAGTCCATGCGCAGCAAGGCAAGAAAGAACAGGAAAGGAAGAAGAAAAGAAAGAGAAAGGAAAAAAAAAGATCATCTATCTACACTTTCTTGGGGCTACATTATCCGGGGCGCATTGTAGCAACGACTGGTTACCCATTTCTACCTTAGGGGGCCCAAACTT